AATCGAAGAAATGATCGAAGTTGACCGACATGTTAGCAGTCGTAACATCGCCCAGGAACTAAAAATCGACCTTAACTGTGTTAAACCATTTACACAAAAAATAATGGGTTTCTTTTCCCCAAACCTAATATATATGGGATCTATATCTAAACTGATTTTAACAAATTCAGAACGCTGTGCAAAACTTTTTTTAATCGGACGAAAATATATATGGGATCTATATATCTAAATCTGAACCGATTTTCTCCAATTTCAATAGTGCTCGTCCTTGGGTCAAATAAGCGACTTGTGCGAAATATCAACCTAATCGGATTATAAATGCGACCTGTACTTTTTTACATGCATAAATTGACTCAGAAAGTTATTCTATGCATATTCTCAAAAGGAGCCATGGATATATCTCGTTTCCTTTTGCATGTTGCAAACATATGCACAAAGGCATAATTCCACAGTGTGGTGAAGGGTATAACAATTATATTTTTTTATTTTATTTAGTAATGCCGGACAAGAATCAAAATATTTTAAAGATATAGCCGATCAAAAACGGATAAAAAATCTGCATAGTGTTTTAAGTTTTTCAAGGACTTTATCAAATTTATTTGAAGACTTTATCAAATTTGCAGAATTTTAAATTTTACAGCAATCATGTCAAATACACCTACAACTTCTTATTTACTTTATAGTATTGACATTAAAATTTTGACAGTTTCATTATGAATCTTATGATGCCTAATAATAAACGGCCTAATATTTTTGACAATCTTATGCGCTCATTAACAACAAAATTTAACATCAGAGTTATCAAATGTCACAAACATACAATTAAATTATAATCTTCAATGATTGAGTCATTTAGCCAATGATATTTGAAATATTCTATAATCATAAGCTACAAAGTAATAACCATCACAGCAGCATCAACAACTACAAAACTACTCGCACTGTAATTAAATTTTCAATTTTAATTACTCATACCCCAATGATTCTGCTGTGTAAAACCATTGAAATTAATTTACAACTGATCTGCATGACTTTAAAAGTTATCCATGATGGCTTTTTGGTGCAAGCGAATAATCTTAAAGTTTTAAATGTAAATAATCTCCCGCTATCTTTAGGTGTTATTAATGACCCAATAACATGTTAAACACTTGTAACAGTATTTAAGGCAATATATATTAACTGAATACAGTATTGCTTACCATGCACTATCATGCCCTGTGGCGGCTGCTGAGTAAAAATTTCACTCATTTATTATGCTCACAGGTTTTTTTATTTATAACGCCCATTCTTCTCAAACCTTTAATGTGTTTTTCATGGATTAAAAATTAAAACTGTTGCTGGCACCTTGTGAAATTTGCCACTAAAAAGGAAAGTAAAATGTATTATGTATTGACTTGATTTTATTAAAAATTAATTGCCCTAAAATATATTTTATGGGACAAATGATTAATGTGGTATACTTTTTATACCCTTCACCACACTGTGGTACATGGTATTATGTCTTTGTGCATATGTTTGTAACAGGCAAAAGAAAACGAAATAGACACATGGTGCCTCTTTAGAATATGCATAGAATAACTTTCTAAGTCGATTTATGCATGTCAGTCTGTCCGTCCATATCAAATTGTAAACAAAGTACATGCCGCATTTATGATTCGAATTGGAATAATCCTATGGAAATTGGGAAAAATCGGTTTAGATATAGCTCCCATATATATATTCGTCCGATTTAAGGTAAATGGTGCACCAAAGTCCCTATACATCTTTCGATTTGGACGAAACTTGGCAGAGCATACTGATTTAAGTCTAGAATGATGTGTCTTAAGTTTCGTGAAAATCAGTTTAGATTTAGATATAGCTCCCATATATATTTTCGTCCGATTTAATGTAAATGGTGCACCAAAGACCCTATATATTCTTCGATTTGCACGAAATTTGGCACAGCATACTGAATTAAGCCTAGAATTATGTGTGATAAGTTTCGTGAATATCGGTTCAGATTTAAATTTAGCTCCCATATATATTTTCCTCCGATTATAGGTAAATGGTGCACCAAACTCTTAATGCCTGTCCGATTGACACGAAAGTTTGCCCAACGTATCAAATTGGGACTAGAATGACGTTATTGCGTTTTGTTGAAATTGCACCCATAGCTTCCATATGTATTTCGAACAGGTATTTGATCGAGATTGAATTTTGAACAGTGCGGCATATCGAATAGCGTGTATTAAGTTTGATATATCGATTTAAATAAGTTTGTCCCATTGTACGCAAAGAACTATAAATTTGCCCGAATGAAATGAAACTTAGCATAGGTTTCTGAATATATGTGCGGATTGATGTTAGTCGGTTCACATATAAATAAAGATCTCATTTTTAAATTCGTTTAAATTCATGTCAATGTTCCTTCGAAAAGGCCACGTCTATTAGGATATATATGTAGAATATAAGTGGTGGTATAGTCGGCCCAGTCCGACTTTACCACTTTCCTTAATATTTAAAGTGTTGCAAACGGAATGAAAACAAGTTGAAAAGCGTTAAGTTCGGCCGAGCCGAACTTTGAATACCCTCCACCATAGATATACCGACAGGTACTAGAAATGAAAATATAGGGAACATAGCAAAAAGTGGACTTATACCGACATTTCTAAAAACGGATTATGTAAACCATAATACAAATTTCAGAAATTTTTAATGGATAATTATACCCTCAGCCTTATGGCTAATGAGGGTGTATACACTTTAACACCGTGAAAATGTGTCTCATCGAAATATTGGTTCTAGACCCCATGTTTCTTTGGACCAAGTCCGTTTCAGAATATTTAGATTTCATTGAAACTTTGCCCATCATATTATTTCTTCCAAACTTAGTTCAAATTCGAAGATGGGAAATATCGGTCCACTTCTTCTGGAACCTTCACACAGGGCTAATCCTAAATGCGGTAATAGTTCATTATCGAACGTTACGTTCTATTTTTTATCTCCTCCGCATGATGAAATGATTACAACAGAGTCTTAGAACCAAACTCAAAACGCGGAATAAATCAGATAACTATTTTAATATAAAAAAGGGTGTTATATGGGGACTACCCTAAAAAGGGGGCGAATATTAATAATTTTTGGTAGGGAGATTTGTTACCATATACGACTACAAAATGACAAATTGCAGAAAATTCGGTTGAAAAACGCGCTCAAGAACCCCAAAATACCGAAAATTGGGTGTACCCTTATAGGGGGGCTTCCGAAAAAATTGACCTATATTCATAATTTTTTTGTGGAGAGATTTAGTACATATTAAGAACACAAAAATTAGGCTAATTCGGCGGAAAATACGATAAAATCTCCCAAAATACCAGAAAAAGTGGACCTGTATTTATATTTTTTGTGGAGACATTTAGTACCCAATAAGAACCCAATGTACCAAATTTCAGCAAATTCGGTTGAAAAACGCGCTCAAGAACCCCAAAATTCCGAAAATTGGGCAGACAAAAGACGACTCTATGCAAAATTTTGGCGATCTATCTCAATTCGTTTAGACGCTAGAGTGATTACAACAGACCGACGCACAGACGGACATGGCTATATCGTCATAGAATTTTACGCTGATCAAGAATATATATACTTTATAGGGTCGGAAATGATTATGAGTTACAAACGGAAAAATAAAATTAATATACCCTCCATACTATGGTGGAGGGTATAAAAATAAATATACACTCCACATTATGGTGTTGGGTATAAAAGAAGAACAAAAAATCAGATTATTTTTTCTTCACAAATCATATCGATTTTGTTCCATTTTTTTTTTAATAAAATTATTTAATAAAAACATTTAATTTATATTAATTTCAAATTAATCTTAAAATCAAGGTGGACTGGACTGCTCATTGTGGAAACGGCTTCGAAACAAATTTCTTCAAAGCGATTTGATCCGTGATTCATTTTACTTGTTACAAATTTTCATTTCCTTCCTTATAACCATTTTAAATTAATAAAAAATTGTCTTTCTTGATTTATGTTTTCTTTACTATTTTGTTATAATCTAAATATCGTAATAATTAAATAATACCACCAATAACAATATTGTCTTATCAATGATTAAATAAATCATCGCCACATCAAAATACCAATAAAAAATCAGACATCGAAAAAAAGACAGGTGAAAAAAACACATCACCCAGACAAACCGACAAACAATTCTTGGCACGAACAGAAATACCATACAGATTATTTTGTGATTACGAACATTGAAAGTTCTTCTTCTTCATATTATTCTTTTTATGGGCCCTGATAAATTATGATAGTTAAATATTAATAGCAATTTTGACTAACAAAAAAAAATAAAGACGACAATTGCCTTATTTAAGAACTGCCAATAAAATCAAGACCGTCATCTACACTTGTTTACATAATTTTGAAAAAAAACCCAAAATTATTTATGAGGTGACTGACTGGGTGGCAAGTAGGCTGACGAACTGTTTCTTTTTTTATTTGGCAATACACCGTCTGTTTTGTATACAGCAAATTCCAATCACGTTTTCCCAGAACAATTAATTTCTTGCGCTGTTTTAAATAATAAAGTTGATATTTTGTAATTTTCGAAAAAAATTTGAGGTTATTTTTTTCGCAAATGTAATAAATTTAGTTGTCGTTAAATAAATTTATTTTAGGTGTTTTTACACCCAAATACAATGCCAAAAATTCCATGAGGTGACTAACATGTTTTGTAATAATAAAGGACACTATTTTGTTTGTTCTTGAGAAATTGACTGATATTAATTTTCTCACATATAGTTCGGCCAATAATTAAGTTTAAATTAAAATTTGTTATATTTCCCCCTCCCAAATCACTAGCCTAATATCAGACAGATTTTTATTATATTTCCACTTTTAATTATTTTTTTATTAATTTCATTATTTAATTATTTTTTAATAACTGATTTGTAATATTCAATACCCTATTAAAATCTAACATCTCGTCTATGTTTATTTCATTTCAGTTTTATGGGTGTCTGTGTACAAGAAGGACAACTACATGCCTTAACCGAGTACATTAATGGTGGTTCATTGGAACAGCTGTTGGCAAATAAAGAAGTCGTTTTAACGGCTGCAGCAAAAATAAGACTGGCATTGGGTGTCGCATGTGGTATGGCCTATGTTCATGATGCTGGCATATTCCATCGAGACCTGACGAGTAAAGTAAGTGTTAAAACCCCACATTAATCACAAAGAATTATTTCATAACTTTCTTCAATCTTTCTTCCTGCAGAATGTATTAATACGAAATTTACCCGGTGGACGTTTTGAATCGGTGGTGGGTGATTTTGGTTTGGCTACCAAAATTCCCGATAAAAAGTATGTACACAATTTGTTTGCAGTTCCAAAATTATTTCTAACAAAAATTCTCCTCCTTTACTTTAGGGTCAAAACCCGTCTGGACTATGTCGGCTCACCATATTGGGTTAGTCCGGAATGCCTAAAAAATCAATTTTATGACGAACGCAGTGATGTCTTTTCATTTGGTATTATCTGTTGTGAGATCATAGCTAGAATTGAAGCAGATCCTGATATAATGCCACGTAGCGACTCCTTTGGTTTGGACTATTTGGCATTTGTTGATTTGTGTCCTATGGATACGCCACCTGTATTTTTAAGACTGGCTTTTCATTGTTGTATAGTAAGTTCACCTGTACAAAACATAGCAAAAATATATTCCATTAATTGCAATGTTTTTCGTTCTTTCTTCATTTACAGTATGATCCCAAAAGTAGGCCTACGTTTCATGATGCCTCGACGAAACTTACTTTACTTTTGGAAACATACGAGCATGACCCGAATTCGGGGAATGCCACAAATGGGGCCACATCATCTTCCTCATCCACAATCAGTGCCAGTTCAAGTCCTTTAAGTTCCTTAGAGATGACTTGTTCGCCGAACGGCAGTGATGCGGAAAATATGTGTCAAGCGAATACCCATAAAAATGGTTGTACTCGTCACTTGACAACAACAAAGAAATTAACTAACCCCAGTACAGCAATAACCACTACACCGTGTATTAAAACCGCTCCGGCTGGTCAAGTAACACCACGCCACATGAAAGAAGTCAACGAAAACGGTTTCCTCTTTCCGGAAAAGGCAAGTCGCAGCAATTCCATAGTGAATGGCTCTCCCTTGGATGTTGATGACAACTGTAGCACCAAGAATCGTGTTAAGAGGGCGACCAAACGATATGAAGCTGCAGCCGAAATGCTAATGCAACAACATCGCCGTTCGCTGAGTGAAAACATTATACACTTTCCATTGCACACCACACCGAGCGACAAGGCCCGTTGCCATCAAATGAATCGCCAACGATCCTCCACCCATTCACCAACTCCACCGCCCTTTGGAGGTTCGACTAGTGCCACTGCTGTCAGTGCTGCACACATCCAGGCACGAGAATCACCACCACCGGTGCTAACCCTGAGGAAGGTGGCTGAAACCATGTGCCTCAAAGATGACCTCTACAAACCTATACGTGCCGATCACAATGGCGTCAAATCAAATCCTTTCACAGCACTGGCCCAACTTAGGCGTGTGAAAAAGGTATTGGGTGCCAATCCAAAAACCTATGCTGCAGGTGTGGGCGATTTGTTTAGTTCATGTTTCGAGATGTGTGCACCATTCTTTAAGGAAATGGCAGCATTGCAACAGAAACCCGCGAATGGAGTGACAGATGAAGCTGGTGGCAAACCAGGTACATCAGCAACATCGCCAAACGAACCAAAGAGTCTACCAACATCGCCGCAATTATCACGCAAATACAGTGCAATTGAACTGAAACTATCACCAACACTACCACTTCCTCGGTGTTGCACAAACGAAGTGGACGATGATGATTGTGTAGACGACTCTGATGCCGAGCAAGATGCAGATGGTGGTGGCAACTGTGCCGATGCTGAATCAAGCAGTGACGATTCAGCCGAACGACCTGCACCCAATCCAGTAGCCCGAAAATATCGAGCCAATTCGCTCTTTACACACCCCTTATTTCGCGGCAATGGCAGCACTAAAAGTACCGAAGATCAATGTTCGGCAATGGCCGCCCTGGCTGCACAAACTGTTGCCGCATCAACGTCAACGGTAGCCATGGAAGATTGTAACTCATCCGAGGATGGTTGTGATGGTAGTGCCCTGAAATCCTCCAAGGATTTGCCAATATCCGCATCAACACCTTCGCCCCCAACACCGCCTGCACCAACATCAGCGCCGATGGTTGCCACACCCGCCTCTCTATCTTCGTGCACAGATTTCGATTTGAATGACATAAAACCCAGTGATTTTCTGCCCACAAAGAGTTCACTGACACGCCGAGACTCCATCGAGAGTGGGTTCTATTCATGTTTCAACGAGGAGTCGGATGCTGCTACAACATTTCGTCAATTCAATGGCGCCGGGGTACCTTCATTAGGTTTGGGTTGCGGTGGCGGCAGTAGTTGTTGTTTCGAACAGCTAAAGTCACAACTAATGTTGGACGTGGGTGCCAATGGGGAATTGAGGTAGGATTCCGAATGATTGCAATACGAAAGATGTAAGCTTATTATTGTTTTTGTTTTACAGTGACAAATTGGCCAGTTTATGCCGCTGTTGTTATTACAGTTCTGCGTCACAAAATGGTGGAGGCCATCACCAGCTACTTAATGATTCATCGTCCACCTCTTCGTCGGTGCTGTTAATCGATGAGCCGACCACAAGTAGTGGTGGTATAAATACTTCTTCCAGTGCAGCGGCTTTACGTTCATTTGATGACCTGGAATTGCCGGATGCCACACGCAACCATCGTCGCTACACCTGTCATCATCACTTAATGGGTGCTGGAAATCAAAATGATAGCAATTTTGCAGCCACAGCTGGTCTAATCAATCGTTTGGCGTTGGATTCGGAAATTCATTCGTTAATGCAACGCAGTCCCTTTGCCACCAATCAATTGTTGTACTGCAAAAATCGTACCTCCTCTATATACACCGATAGTTCAGATGATATTAGCAGTCTGGCGGGCTCCGATTCATTGTTGTGGGATGAGAGATCATTTGCCTATCCGCCCAGTACACGTTCTGCACAAATTGCCAAAATTGTTGAGTATTTTGAAAGAAAACGGCAAGTACCTGATACTATACCACCGCCACGTGGCAGCGTTAGTAGTGGTGCTGCAGGAGGCAATAATGGCACTGGCGGTAGTGGGTCTACGTCTTCATCCTCTTCGATGGCGGCAGCCGTTGCAGCCTCAGCTTTGGGTTCATCATATTTGTCATATGAAACAAGACGTTATTCCGACTTTAAACGTCATGCAGCTATTAATTCAGATTACGAAGCATTTTGTTTTGATTTGGATAAGAAGCCATCACAGGCCCGCTTAATGGTGTGTGAGGGAGCCGTTAAATCCAAATTACAGATATTTGATAAACTAAAGCAACAACAGGCAAATTGTGCAGCAACGACGACAAATTCAACGGCGCATCTTGCGGGTCATTGTAGCAATGCCATGCCAGCCGTGGTCAGTAATGGTGGTACCACAAATAGCAGCAATACAACAGCAATGACTGCGGGGACGACCGCATCGTTTGCGCCCACAACATCTATGACAGCATCGACTGGTTCTATTACACCAACCCAAACTCCTACAAGTACAACGACAGCAATATGTTCACAAATCAATAGTGCTGGTTAATCGATAAATGTTATCATCCTCTATCCCTAATCCACATTATACTACTACTTCAAATTGAACTTGCCTTCTTCGTCTTAATGTATCCTCCCTCCCCCAATTTATTCTTGTAACAACTTTCTTTTTCTAAAGTTAACTTTGGATCTTATACTATATACATATGTATGCTAAATTCGGTAATATATCCCCCTTTTTTCTTCGATATCCCTTTTCATTCTATCTGGTTCTTTGAATCAAAATATACAATGAATTATTTTTTAAGTTTATGAGAAAGAAAAAAAATAAATCATTTCTGTTGTTATTATTTCTTTATTTAAATTCCTTATTAATTTTACACAACTAAACTATTGAAAACAAATATATATGTATATGCCTATATGTGTGCGTGATTGTTTTTAATGTATTTCACCAAAAAAAATGAGAGGAGAAACAAAAAAACTCGGATTTATTTCTATTTATTTATTGCATATTATTTTCTTGTTTTATTCTAAGTGTTCTCCTTTAATGCTGTAGATTTGTTGAAGCGAAAAAACGTATCCAAAATAAGTTTATAAATTATTTATTATTATTATATTTTTGGAAAATTTAAAAACAAAATGAAAAGATCACATGAACAACAACAATGACAACTGTTTGTGTTTTCTTTAAAACATGGTCAAAAAAACTTTTGAACTTTTTGGTTAAAATTTTTTATATCAATTTCCTAATAATTAGGGATTACAATGTAGTATAATTGACGCAACATTTCGGTATTTTTCTGGTGTTCAATGTGCGATATTGTTTTTTGACTAGATATATATTTTTTTCTTAAGCCACTATGTTAAAATTGATGTTTAATATATACTTTGGGTATCATCTTCTATGCAACTTCATTTGATATGAAATTATGTATTCGATTACTATAATTTATTCCTTTTTAACTAGTCTACATATCATAAAATAAAATATATAAATTAAAAATCATTATTGGAAAATCTTTTAATTTTATCAAAAAGAGAAAAAAAACTATTGTTCTAAACCTTGTTTTGTGACTGGACAGCAATTATGAAATACATGGAAGGAAAATCACAGAAGGCGTATAATTTATACTCTTAATTTAAATGCCAAAAGTAATTATGTATAAATGTAAGCTAAAAGAAATGTAAAAATATATATACATATATTTAGGACACTAGTTTATGTTTCAATATATTTTTTTGTAATTTATCCTATTTTCAAGTTTTAGTGTAAAACCTAATGGAAAACGCCTTTTTTTCATTTCAATCAAGTCTATAAATATTAAAAACAAACTAGTCCTTTCTATTTATAACCGACACAAATGTTTATTAAAAAAAGCAAAAAAAACATGTATTATTTTAATTTTAGAAACAAACCAACAAAAAATACTTTATTTCATTCTATTTTGGGTATACTCTACAAAAACAATGGCCAAGCTATTTGAAACTATTTATTTAATTTATTTATTAAAAAAAAACAACATATTTTTCTTTTATTTAATAAAATGCAAAGTGTATATTAACTAAACAAAAAAAAACAGTAATAATTTAAAAATTTATTAAATAATTTAAATCAATTTTATTATATGTATGTACACAAACAAAAAACAAATTAAAATATAAATAATTTATCAAAATACACGTAAACGGGAAAATATCCACAATTAAATTCAATTGTTGTGTTTATGTAAAATATAAACAATTTTCTTTGTTAAAAGTATTTTTAAATGTTTATATAATTAGAACACGAAACCTTAATATTATTTCTTTTTTGTTTTAGTATTATTATTAGTAGTAAAAAAGGGGTTGTAAGACTTAAAATATGAATATAATGAAAACAGAAACTTTATTAGTTTTTATTATTAAAAGAAATTGTTTAGCAAAAGAAAATCGCTCTGTATAAAAGCAAACATAATTATTGTCTATGAGAATTTTTAGTGTTGTAAATATTTTATATATCTAAACAAACATGATACTTCTTTTATAAGTAAGATTTGAAGGCAATACAAAAATAAGTTTCCCAATATTGTGTGTGCGATTTATTTCAACACCAAATATCACTTGGTGTGTACAATTTTTATGTGGAGTTTCGAAAATAAAATTACATACTTTTTATTGTCAAGCCGTTTATATTTTTAAATATACATATATGGATATTTATTATAATTTTATTATTATTTCGTACACATTAGTGTTAATGATTCTTTTTATCATTTATTTCCAATTCTTATATTTAAGTATTGTGAAAAATATTGCTATTTTTTCTGGATTTTTTGAAAAGAAAATATTTAGAATAAAGGATTTTTTGAAAATATAATTTGAACATTTTGTTTTTTATTTATGTTGCTGTTTTGTTTTCTGGTTTTATTTGAATTTCGTTTTTTTTTTAACACCAATGAAGGATAACACAATGCAATTGATCTTTAAACTTTTGGTTGATACATTGATCTGAAAAATTTTCATTTTTATTTTTGTTAACACATTAACAAGTTTATAATCTATTTAATGGATAAGAATATTAAAATCAAGCCTAAAATTTTTCGAATTTTATAAATCTTAAATCTATTTTGGAGTAGTCCATGTCATGAAGTTTTTGAATCGCTCATGGCCCTTTGGGCTATTAACTTCCTATTTCAAGCATTTTTGGGGCCTTAACCACATTTTCCGATAGAATTTCCCGATTTCCGATATTTTGAAGCTTCTTGCCACTTTGTACACCAAAATTATCCTATATTGTAAGACATTTTCACAAAAAATGGTCGACTTTTAACATGTTCTCATATAATGGCATCGTGACCTCGTATTTTAAAAATTCTATCTTAGAAAGAGTACATGTATGGCTCTCCTGTGAACTAGGATTATTGACTTCGCTCCAAAATTAACAAAATGGCGGACCTTTGAAAAATATTTTTGAAAAATCGCCGATTTTTTATCAAAAACCAAGTTAAAAAATAAGGAAGATCTTCACCGATTGGCTTTATCCTAGTTCATACGAGAGCTATTCACTCACAGAGAAACGTGTAAAAATTTCAACTCGATTGGGTTATTAGTTTTTGAGTTATCGTGCCCGCCATTCGCAAAAGAGAAAAACGCGTTTAAAGTTCGAGAAGCCCTTTAGCCGCCACTTGATGCTGACACAAAAAATCGGCTATATCTTTAAGAGTTCTTAAGATTTTCACTTGAAATTTTGTAGGGACATTCTTGAATTAGTGCAGATTCGAATTAAATCAACAAAAATTTTTGACCCCGAGAAATTAAATTAAATTTTCGGAATTTGTTTGCCTTTTCTAAATACCGATAATATCAGAGCTAAGCAATTTTGACAATAGTAAAGATAAGATGAGACAGCAGTATTTACTTTAATTTTTTTAACAAGAACCTATTAACATGTATTTTTTAGGAATATTTTTGTCCGCCATTAACAAGACGATTTAAGTGGATTTCGTAAACATATATTTTTCAACGAATATTTTGGATGTTTTATTTTTCCTTATGTCTAGTAAAGAGCAACATCTGAAATCTATGATAACAAGCATACACAAAATAGCACTGGAACGGGTAACTAGTAAAAAAAATGTTAAAACTAGAAGGCAATCGTTCAAATTCGACCCAAAATAGTAACAATTTTTTCTCGGATAAAATGGAGTACAAGGAATAGCAAGTACTTTTTGTTATGCTATATTTTAGTTTTTTTTTTAATTTTTTAATTCTTGTTGAAAGAAATCAAAATATATTTTTTTAAATCGCGAGATTGTGTAACACCGAAAAGTCTGCACCTTTCAATATATTTTCTCTCAGGGATGTATTTTTCGTCAGAAATTAAATAGAAAATTTAAACACATATTTTATTTCTTTATCCACATTCAATTGCGAAATATTTCTATCCAATATATCTCCAACACCCATAATGTATTTAACATAATTTAGCTATAATTATAGGAAAATGAAAAGGACAACATAAACAAAGACTGAAATTCTGAATGGTAATGAATTAAAAAATAAAACAATGAAGACATTGGACACAATATAGTCCCTATATAAATAATACTTTTGCATATAAATATTATAAGAATATATATTTGTATATAAATAAATAATTATTATAGTCAATTCGATTTTATATAGAAATAAATTAATAATATAATCCAATAAAAACCACAAATATCAGCAAAACATTCATATAACATAATTCACAACAACCCCCAAAACTCATTGGAATTAAATTTTAAATTAAATTAAAAGAAAAAAATTGTATAAGAAGTGGGACAATCCCTCACATTAGTTTTGAATACGTCCATTTAATACAAATACAAAAAACCAATCACGTTTCTCAAACAAAACATAAAAAAATATTTATCTTCCAACGTCGTTTTTAAACCAAAACAAGAACTATATACTATATATTTATGCAAACAAAAAGTAATTTTAGTCATTAGCATATCATTAACATTTGTAACAAAAAAAAACTAAAAGTATTTCAAGCAAAAAAATCTCATTGAACCAAAAACAAAACTTCATACTTCCATTATTCATAACTCAGACATCATACTTCGCTCATTGTTGCCAAAACTAAAAAAACAAAAAATCCAATATCTAATGTTCAAAAGCAATCATTCATACACTCATTCACATACAAACAAAACATTCTATCCAAACCACCATTCATTCATTCCATCAATCTCATCAAAGACTACAAATTTGTTGAATAGCAGAATGTTAAAATGTTTTTAATGAAACAAATATTTACAATATAAATGTATTACAAAATCATAAAAAATAAAAGTATTACTAACGATATATGTAACATACAATATAAATCAAACACATACATATTTAATATTTTGTAGTCAGATAAGTGAGAAAGTTTATAGCAATTAATGAAAACGAATAAAAAATAAAATTCGAATTAAACGAAAATAAAAAATATAGAATTTGTTTTATTTACAAAAAATCTCGGATATATGTAGCTGTATAGCAATGTTCAACTGATAAAATATTGATTCCTAATTCATTAGACTTGTTATTATCGTGGAGTCCTATAAATAGGAACTAAATTTGGAACATTAGAGTAACTTCGGGTAATGTGGACCACCATTTTCTTTTTTTGATATTGTGGGCGTAACAACGGTTAAAAATAAAAACAAATTGTTTTCACATTTGACAGAAAAATGTAAACAAAATTATCAACAAATTATATTTATTTAGAAAATGAAATATTTTCAAATCCTCAAAATAAAATTGAATAACATGAATGAAAATCTATAAAATTTAAAGTTCTATCGCTTCGACATCTTTCAAAATAATTTGAAAATGTGTAAGACAACGAAAATCTAGTAAATATGCCAAAATTGGATGACAATACTTCAAAATATACATAACAGCCAATAAGAACAATTTCGCATTCCTGTTTCCCATTTTTCCTGCTGGACAAATTTTTAAAAAAAGTTGTCATATTCATAAGAGAACGTATTGCATTTTGATTTTTTTGCTGTTAACTTTTATAATGTTTTACCAGTTTTGGGGGTTCAGCAAGGGTTTACAAAAAACTTGCAAAACTTGTAAAATTGTTTTTGTAGATTCTTTTAGGTTTTTGACAGAAAAATGTAAACAAACAAACAAATTATATTTTATTTTTAGAAAATGAAATATTTTCAAATCCTCAAAATAAAATTGAATAACATGAATGAAAATCTATAAAATTTAAAGTTCTATCGCTTCGACATCTTTCCTATAATTGAGGCATTGGTACTTATATGTGTAAGACATATGAAAATGCTGGTAATTGCGAATTATTCCATGAAAAAAGATTTGCTTCCTCAAACTTCCAACAGGCAGATTGAGTAAATTGAATACGGGAGGACATTTAATAAAGAACAATTTCGAATTGTATGCGTTCCCAATTTTCCTGTTGGGTGATTTTTAAAAACATAATTTGTCATATTCATATTGACACTAGTATTGCGTTGGGATCAAATCAGCTGGGTTTTGCTGTTAACTTTTATAATTGTACCATGATTTCGAAGGAGGATATTTTCATTTAAATTTTGAAAGCTGAATGTTGTCAAAAGTAAAATTATGAAAAATCAAATCAATTTGCCATGGCATTATCCTAATGGATTTTAGGTGTAACAAACTCGATTTGAAATGTAAATTCCATAGCTTCAAATAAAATCTACTGACGAGGATTTACTTAATTAACATTTGAAATCGAGTTGATTTCGTAAATCTAACTGTATCATTCTTAGCTTTCGGAAAAGCTCAAATCACTTTCTTTGTCATAGCGCTTTTTTTAACAATATAAACATGTTATAAATTAACGAATGACCTAGGCCTAATTTCAATTCCATTCAGTGAACAGAGTGCCGTTGAACGATACAAACACAAACAATTGTCAAACATCATATTGTGAATTACATTCACAATAGTATTGCGAAAAATTTTGAAAACTACATAAATTTTTGCTTTATTAAAAAGAAGTCCGCAAATAAATGTAAAAAAAAATATATTTGTAAAATTACATACATAATTACCTGGAATTAAAAATAGCCTAAAAGAAGTTTTGCATCGCAACACATTTTAACATTCATTGTGATGCAAATCGGTTTGCTGGAAGACCACACAATTGTACACCAGCTCTTCAATTGTTATTTGTTGGAATTTTGCATTATTTAATTTCAAAACCAAAACAATAAATGAAAATTTGAATTTTGGAACTCACAAAGACTACCAACGATGTCGATGATACAAATTAGCCGGAGTACATTGCAAAAACTAACCCATGAGTCGTTGGAAATTCGATTGCGGGCCCTGGATCAAATTGCAGGCAAATTAGAGCGCGCGCTTGAACTCAATGAGAAAGTGGATGTAAAATTTGTGGAATTGTGTAAACAATTGATTCGATGGTTTGGCTTTACACCCATAAGGACGCCATTAAAAGTATTAAAGCTATTAAAATCACTATTGCACTCGGAAAGCTATGGAGATAGAATCATTCAAAGAATGGGAGCAGATCGTCTGAGGAAAGAGTGTCGCAAAATTAAAATATTGTTGGAACAGCAAAATGAGGAATTGCAAGTCGTACAAGAAATTCTCGACTTTCTTAAGTGTTGTGAGCGGAAGGCGGAGGAAAACAAGAAGAGCGATGATATGGAAGAACTGATGAGGGCAACAAAACGCCTTAGCATACAAAATAAATGTGGGAGTAGAGACGACAAAGATGAGGAAGTGTATTCCCTTGAGGATTATGAAGTTCCGTGGAGTAGTCCAAGTAGAAGTGATTACACCTCCCTAAAATTAATGGCAGATATTTTGAAAAATCCTTCGGCCACAGAAATGGAGTTACATCATGCCCTGCAGCATTTACAATTGACTATGAAGGATTATCCAGCTGAGTATATGTTACAGGCACCACATATATTTCGCCATCTACTGCAGATATTTAATAAACCTCAAATGATGGAAAAGCTAACAGACGCTACAGCATCAACCGTGTATGAGTTCTTGCAATGCTTGGAATTACGTTTGGAATATAGAAAAAAATCATTAAATTTCCCATATGCGGCAAGCACCATAGAGGATTGTCAAATTGAAAAACCTTCACAACTAAGGGTGGGAAAAGCTTTAGCTCAGCTCCTAGAGTCATGCATCGATTATTGGGAAGAATATGGTAATGAATCAATAGTGATATGGGAAATTATGTTCAAAATACTAAATTTATATGTCATTATAAAAGAAGAAATTAACGACAACGCTTTACGCAAACTTGGCAGGATACTGAGTAAACTTTGCTTGCAGTATACCGCAACGGAACAATGTACCCGTCCACGGTTACAACAGATGCAAATATTATTTTTCCTGCAGGATGTGGCCAGTATCAATAATCAATTTAGGCCTCTCAAATCGGTGGAGCTGTACGAACCAATATTAAGGGATTATTCCATAAAATGCTTGTATCCTGAACGTTATCTAAAACTACGTGAAATATTATGGAAAAATGAACAACGTTTATGGGATAAATATCAGCTCCTAGATAAATATGAGACATCTTTACGCAAAGCTATTAACTTACTGATCGATGATACAACCTCAAGGACCACTGGTGTGGAACTTATTAAAAATGGGTCCAGTCTTGTTTTGATGTTAGATAAAATTCATTCCAAACAACTGCTTGATATTATATTTATGAATATAGTTGAGTCTATACCCCACTATCTTAACAACGAAGAACTAAAGTCGAAAGCAATACAACTCTTAATCAAATTACTCAACATATCATTCATGCCCTTGAAAGTATATCTGCACGAGAGACTCACAAATGTTTTCAAACGCCACATTGGTTGTCTAATGAATGGAGAACGTTATCTAAAGGAATGTGAAAACTCGGCTCTACTAGTTGCCGGTATTGTTGGCATACCCTTGAATACTCATTTGTTGTTGCATCTACTACACAATGGCTTTGAAAGTGCAGATGAGAAAATTCAAATTTCTTGTTTTAAAATATTGGAACTTTTACTACAATCTCAATCACTGTTTGGATCAAAATGGAGTACTTTTCTACCGACGTTAGTTCCAATTCTACCACTCCTAGGCTGTTGTACCTTTTCCAAAAAGATACTAGAATTGTTGCTTAAACTATATGATCCTGATTCCAGGCGTTTACCCTATGTTAGTGTCTTACAAGGCAACATTGCATTTTTATTCCACAACAACAACGAAAGACGTTCGGAAGCCCTGACAAGACTCTTGTACAGCCTGAATTCATTGAAGGGCAGCGATAAATATATGCCAAATCTTATGCATATAAGCGACACATTACCCAATGACATTTGTATGTTAACATCACCGAGGGAATATCGTCACATATTCAATGATATTTCGCCATTGCGTCCTGATGCCGTCTCAACATTAAATAATCTCTTTCATTTGTTGGATTCGCCAGATGTTGAGCCGTTGATACGTAAAACCACATTAATGCAAATCAATGTATTATGTTCCAATTGGCATGTAACTGGTGAATTGTGTAATGCTGGGGCTTCGTTTTTAATTTTACAAGCATTGGAGAATGCCTTGCAGAATGAGTCATGCTTAGATTACCCCGACACTGCCATACCTTGTATCAGTATACTTAATAAGATTCTATTCTACGATTCCACGGTACGATGTGAAATTGCTGAGACCCCAAACATTTATGTGCTCCTGTTACGCGCTCTGTTTATGTTTCATCATGACATCCAGGTTAGACAAGATGCCACAATGTGCCTCTTTCAATTGTTGTTCTCACATCAGTTGGTTGCCACCGAGAGAAGTGTAGAAGGACCTTTGATTTTGGGTAACATTCACATGCCTTTCGATATATATTTACGTTCAGCTCTTGCCGCAGCAGATGACAGTGAAACGGATTTTCAAAAAATTGCCGCCATCTTTGCCAGTGTACAAGAAGAAAATCAATACTGGCGTTTTGTTATTGCCGATGCCTCGTGTCATGGTATGGTAAATATAAATCCCAAATCTATGATAAAGCAATCACAGTTAGATATAAATGAAGATTTGAAACTTAACAGTCAAGATGTAAAATTAATACGAGCCACTCAACCTGGAGTATCACTTCAACGACTGATTAGAGCTGCCACCAATGCAACGGATCACAGGTCTCTAATACATGCCTGTTCGATGTTGAATCAACAATTACTTTTGCCCAGGCTTCCTCAGACATTTCTCTTGGGTGCCGAATCAAGTCAAGCATTGGGTACCATGCTAAACAAATATTTACAACTACAGCCAAGTAATGACAGTGATTTGGAACTTTATCAGTATTTAGTGGATGTTTTGCTAAGCTGTCTCAAGATACCAGTAACCAACATAGCTGCTGAATTTATAAAAATTCTACATAAAGATGTGCGACATGCTTTTATAACAATGCTTACACAACAACAAGAAATTGAGCTTGGAGTTTATTACAAAATTTCCCACGTATTGAAGTACCTGATTATACATCACAAGGAGGTGTTTGAAAGTACCCTGTCTCCATCCGAGAGCAGTGCATTTTTCAGTAATCTTTTTGATTTGCTTATGGAACGGACACTACAACTATTCGAAGTACGAGACTTGCAACGGGTACGTTGTTTACTATCGTTGTTATTGTCCCTTAGTACATGCTATTTAGATATGCCCGACAAATTGCTATTTTATTATTGTCGTCGTTTTATGCAGCTATCACTGGCACTGAAATCGTTTACCCAAACTGGATCACAATGGCATCGTGATTGCCTGAAATCCATATTAAATCTTTCAAGCCAAATGACAGAATCGAAATGCAATTTTCGCCTGGCACCTGGAGTGGTGAAATATATTGGTGGCATGTGTGCTCACATTGATGCACAAGTACGAATATTAGCTTGGAGCATATTATATCTGGTATCAGAAACAATTGCAATACCACCGGAGGCTAACAAAAAGTCGAAAAGTTCAGATAATTCTGGATCGGAAATGTTATCGAATGAACTTTCATATTTACCGGGTGGTTTTATAGCATGCTGTCTAAGCACCCTATTGGATATTAAAGAAATAACACATGTTCGACAATTGGCGGGCCAATTGTTTGCTAATCTAATACAAAAACGAAATGACATCGAAGAAATAGAGCAAATTTTTGAGCAACATCGTTTTCTCAACTTCATTGGTGCAGAAGCTCTTAACAAAGAAATTTGTGTTTTAAGTAGCGAAGTTCCCAATGGACTGGAACCATCCAACACTAAACAGATTACCACATGTGGTCTTATTGCATGCTACACACGTATATGCATTGAAATGTCATTGCAATCTCCAGCATTCTTGAATGAGATTTGTACCCGTTCTTTTATGTTTAAATTATATGAAATATTGAAATTACCCTTACCATCAGCGCCGGATATTTCCAACGAATATATAACCATGATTGCCTTGATTTGTCGTCTTTATACTATGTGTTACACCGATAATTACATATTTCTGCAGCGTACAATATGTCGAGATCCAATATGGCTAGATAATCTCTGCAAAATTGTATTCTCCATTGATCCCAACGCCACGGAACCATACAAAATTGTCGATATGTTACAATTGTTAATGGTCCTCCTTAAAGATCCCAACGCATTAGAACATCTTACAACAAAAATGTTGGAATATAGTTTATATATTGTAAACATGTTTAAGCATGCCCTGTCCACAAGTCGTATAGGCACAATGTTGCAACGATGCATGTTATCAGTATTAAGCTTGCTTTGTATTAAAGCCCAACCAGAAATTGGTGGTGATCTGTCGTGTAATGTTTTATTGCTGCTAAATGGTTCGAATATCGAAGAAGCCATTGCGGATGATAAGGTTATTGATCTTGAATGTGAAAATAAAGAGAATCATATCAACAATAATAACAACAACAATGTGAAGAGAAGAAGTAAAAATGGCGAAAATGGAATTAAAGAAGGTAATTTGCACAAAATTATTATATCTTTAATTTGTATTCTTTTATATATGACTTTTAACCCTTTGATCCACGATTTTTTTCCGAAACCATAGAACGATTTTATATGCGCTGATTTATTTCAAAAATTTTCCTTTTGATATGTGTCGTCCATTATCAGGACTTGACATATGTAATCCACAAAATATATATTTACTAGTTGCGTATTAAATACAAGCTCTAAAACATTTAGTTGCCTGTGGGCAACATTGGGACACAAAGGGTTAATCAAAATGAAATGATAAATATAAAAAGACCAATGCGATGTTCTACTTAAAAAAATTCAAATAAATGGGACATTTTTTTAATTATTTCTCTTTCGAAATGAGTTTCATGATCGAAGTTGCAATGAAAAGGAAAGCCAGAGAAATACTAAACTCCCAACCTTATGCGACGCGTTTCGTTGTTGGTTAAGCTGCTCATCAGGCATATTGGGCAATGTGGGTTACAAATGTCTTTACTTGATAAGTTATATTTAAGTCGAATATTGTTGCAAAATTACACCTACGAATAAATTAAACTGTGTCAAGGTTCGGACATTTCGTATCACACCAGAACATTATTGCGAAATTACACCTACGAATTAAATTCAATCGTGACAAGAGCAGTTTCAGAGCAGATTTTTCTTGTATACAACTGCATATTAGCAACCTTAAGAAGATAAGCAGGTGTCAAAGCCACTAAGGTGTCGGACAACAACCAGAAGATGCCATAGGAAACAGCGTTCAAATCCCAACTGTAGACCTAAATATTAGTTTCCCTTACATTCTCTGGACAAGAAGTGACAAACTCCCCTTTTACCGTCTGGAAATATGGACTCTGTCTTCCTCATATTACCAAGATGGGTGTTAGTCTACTTAGGGCTGACACAACCTCATTCTCCACACTTGATTTATTCAGGCCAAAGTTATCTACCTTTCTTATGACAAAATGTTATCTTCGTCCTACGAAGAAAATCGTCGTTCAAACATCGTTTATTAAATTGTTATTATATCAAATACTTTGGTTTCAAATACTATAATCAACGTTTGTTTCCTTAAAGAACACTATTATTTATTTCCTTTTGAGTTATTTTATTAATCTAAATCTACTACTAAATTAATTTTCATATTTCTCTTTTCAGACAAAAAATCAACCACAACAATATCCGAACATTTATGTATATACTTAATACGTTTATTCACCCATCTGTATCCTTTAAAAGTTTGCAAGTTCATATCCGCACCCACTGAAGCTCAACAACAAGTTGTCGAATCTTTATCGCTATTGCTGAAAGTGTCACCTAATGCTCAGGAAGCGGCACAAAATCTTAAACTCAATGAAAAAATTGTAAACATTTTCAAAACATTCTTCGAAGAATACTCCACAACACCATGTACGACATTTGTAAAACGTCATGGTGAGCATAAGAAATTGGCAGTGATAAGAAATCTTCAACTTTTGTTAAAATGTCTTCTCAACTGGCATTCTTCGCCCACCATGGTAATAAGTGATGATGTTTTGGCATTGGAATATAGTAAAATTATTATACAAATTTGGCCATGGATGGTACATTCGACTGAACTAAAATTAACTCTATTACAAGTTGCGGCTTTCGTTTGTGAACGTTCGCTGGTGATGTGTAAGCGGTTTTCGACCATAAACAACACATCGTTCGCGCATTCTGTATTACAATTGACCACTAAACTAATTCTTGCCGATACTATGAAAATTAAAGCAGCCAATACGGATAGTTTTCCTGTTATATCTTCGGGTCTAAGGGTATTGATAAACTGCTGCAGTTCTGTGGAAGGCAGAAATGTTTTGATAAAAGCTCGCGTTACGGATATATTTGATAGTTTATATCCATTCAATAGCAAAGCTGCACGTATCAAATCTGACATTGTAAATGCCTGGCTTTCATTTTGGGAAATATTATCGCGTTATGATGAAGGTGCCCAGACTCATCATTTAAATGCTTTGTGCTCTGTTATAAATCGTTCTAAAGGAGATACACGTCTAATATCATTGAAGATTTTACGAAATATGAGTTTCTTGAATAGTAATCGTATCGTACTTTTAACATCATCTGACTTTATATATACAGCGAATGAAATTATTTCCCAATCTATTGCTCCAAAATCATCTGTCGAAGAACAGTTGGCAATATGTGTTGCTCTATGGAAGCTAATAAGTGGAGGAGTAAAATTTGTGGCTATGATTCGTGGTACAAAACTATCAAAACAGTTAAGACTTTTAAGAGATTCACTCAAGTGTCTTTTGTTGGAGAGCAATGAAAAAATCGATTATGGAAAGGGATTATTAAAAGTATTGGATATTATTTTTAAAATGTTTGAAACATAAAACAAGTGACTTGATGAAATATTGTTGTAAATTATTTTTATTTTTTGCACGCATGAAATTTATATTTATTGTTAGATATTTTTAAGATTTTTTAAATAAATGATTTTTCAGTATTTATTTATGTTATTGTTCTGTGAAGATGATATTAAAGGAATTGAAATATTCTTCGTTATTCGTTATGTTAAATTAAAACATTGTTCGCGTTAACTTAAAATGTTTACCAAATGGTAATTGAATGTCGTTCTACAATCTTTTAAACTTTTATTAATCAATGAAACGGGCATTTACCATCAAACCGATTCGATATGTACAAAACTTTGTACAACCTATTACCTTTACTAAAAGTAAATGAAGTGCGAAGATCGGACCTATTAGTCCACTCCTTCTGATTCCTCCTCCACAGAGTCAACATTTTCAATATCCCTACAGGTACCTCCCCCACAAAATTGTGCAACGGGCAACGTCTGTCACCTCAGCTCATTGTGTAAAAGCAATAGGGCTGCTACAACAACAACCAAGAGTAGATGAAGTGCGAAGATCAGACCTATTAGTCGACTCCTTCTGGTAACTCCTTCACAAAGGGTCAACGTTTTCAATATTTATAAATCCCATATTAGGCGGTTAAAAAAATATTTTGGAGCACAACGAAATTCGTAGTGTACCGCTGTCGGAGCACTAAAACCCGTAGTGTATCGCGGTCGGAGCACTAAATATCCTAGTGTACCGCGGTCGGAACACTACGATTTACCCCAAAATACTCGGGGTCACAGTATGTTCAAATCGTCCGCGCAAACGAGCGGCGATTTGAACAAGTTCCTCGCTCGCCGGCAGTACTTGGGACACAGATAAAGAAACCTTGTTTACCTCTTACAAAGCGATAAGTCGGTTTGTGGCAAGCTATGCGGTTCCAGCGTGGTCTGCGAACTCTAGTGATACGCAATTGAGAAGTATTCAGAACTGTCAGAACGCCGCCCTGAGGACTGCGACAGAGTGCCTCCTCATGACACCAGTGGACCATCTTCATAAGGAGACGAAGATCCTTCCCTTACGTCAGCATAGCAATATGCTTTCGTTACAGTACCTGCCTGTGTGCTTCAGGGACAATCATCCCAACCATCATATGATGGATAGGACTCCCCCACCCAGGCGTATCAGGAAGGATCTGCATGATCTAGATAGAGAGTTTCAAAGATCAAGTTCCTATCTGAACAGCGTTCATACTGATGCAGTAGCCGCAGCGCTGAACGGATACAGATTGAATGCCGTCTGCCGAAGACAGAACCAGATGGAATTTAAACAGGAAAAATATACAACAATTTTTTCTTATTTTAAAATAATTCAACACTTGATTTTTTGTTTACAAAATTATACTATTTATTATATAAAACAAAAAATAAATAAACATTTATTAATTTAGTGAATATATTATAATTAAATTAAAATATTTATTATACTAATAAGCTCCATGTTCTTTCCATAGTCCTAAATTTAATTGTGGTAAAGAATTACAATTCACCAGTTCGTTTCTAAATATATTAAAAAGGAAATTATTATTTTTTTTTTTTTTTTTTGAGTTTTGCCTGTAATGGCGATGATTATTTCAATGATTTTTAAGTCAGTTTTTCTCTTTCGAGTCGAGTTTTGCAATGACAAGACAAGTCAGGGAAAGAACATACGCATTTATCTCAACTCGAAAGAGAAAAATTGGCTTAAAAATGTTGATATATGTATATATATATATATATATATTATACTCACTCTTCATTCGGATGTAGAAAAACATTGGGTTGTACATGCCTTAAGCTGACACTATTAGCACATATTAAACTGGCCAAGCTTACTTTGCGAATCTCTGCCAATTGTTCTAAGAAAGTGAAAAATTGATATCAGGTATATTTATGTAAATTGATACATAGTTATATACAACTAATAATATTATTTATACTAATGTTTTACAGGAATACAATTGCAAATCATAATAAATCTAATGAGTGGTTCCATAGCTCCATATGAACTAACTTAACCAAATAATTCACTTGATTAGAAACTTAAATTATCTATAAAACTTATCTAGAATAAAAGCTTAATATTAATCACATAAATCCAAACATACCTTTTGTAAAACCAGCATGTGGTTCAAAATGTTCGAAAAAGAAACGATCCGATTTTCGTAAATTGGCAAATTGTCTGCCTAATATACACTGGAATGTTGGGCCAAAAATACCTTCTGTCGTATGTCTTTCCAAAGAACCACCAGTATTTAACTCCACATCATTAGGTGAGGTATAGAATTTTCGCAATAATTCTATTTTCTAAGAAAAAATCAAATAATGTTCATCTGATATTTCAACATTATATTATTACACATACTTCTGGAGCAATTACATCTTCAAAATCTGACCAACCATAGGCTCTTGGTAGACCGCAGGCTTCACGATAATCATTGTAACTAGCTAATCCAAAATCACGGCCACGTTGTATATCGATCGACTTCAAATCAGAACCGTATTCATCAAAAACTTTACGACCGAAATAGTGTTTTAACTGAAAATAAAGAAATAATAGCTCTGTCAGTTTACTCGATATTTGGTAAAAATTGTTACTAAATGTTGTCTGTTTACACAAAAATCCAGTAAAAAAGAGTCAAGTGAGAGAGCAAGTTTGACAGTTGAACAACAACAAAGTTGCTGGAGTTTACTGAAAGAATTTTATTCAGTAAGATTTTGCAACTCATTTTCTGATCAGCTGTTTTCTGACCAAACACAAAAATTATTTAAAACATTTTTTTTTTAATTTGCAAAGTTCAATTTGAAGTTAATTACAGAAAATGGAAGAAAATTCGTAAGTAATGCAGTTTCATTAAATTAGAAACTAATTCCTTATATATTTTTAGGCAAGTTCTAGATAGAGGGCAATGTATTGATGCAGGGAGCTTAAATGTTCCCGGGGAACATACCAGATAAATTTTTCTTTTATTATTCATTTTTTTAATATTAAATGCAATACAAATAATTGTGTTCGTCCTTTGTTTACTGTTTATTTTGGCGCAAATCAAATGTTTTCTTGAATCAGCTGTTTATTTGCTAAATCTTACTAAATGTTGTCTGTTTACTTTTTTCAGTATTATCGCAAAAGAGAGTAAGAAAGGCTTACTCTCTGAACTAGAACTTACTGAATAAATGTTACTGGAAAAGTAACCAGACACACTTATAATTTAGTACATAATAGTATTATCTCTCATAATCAGTCTCTCTTCTACTGCACTTTTTTGGAAATGAAAAATATCGAGTGAATGTCGAAAAAATAGTGAACGAAAAATCTTAATGTCGGAATCCATAATATAAGGACAAATAATTTCATCACCATGTATAGATACCCAGATACGAATATGTGTTAAACCAGAGTGGATGAAGGTATACATCTTATTTATAGCTCCTGATCCATAGAATACTTTTAATACCGCTAATCATGACCTACTGTTTAAGGATATTGAAAATATTGTCAAGAATGTGGTTGAATGTGAGACTATGGAGTTTTGTATGGAGGTTTCTTACACTCGATGAACATTAAACATGAAAATTCAAATGTACCCTAAGCCAAAAAAAATGCTATTTCGAGATGTCGTGACAAACCAGGACGGGATGTTATAATTTTTTTCAGCTAGTGGGTCGAAATTAAGCACAGATTGGGACGATTACAGAGAACAATTCAATAGGTACAAAATTAAAATCAAGAAGGCTAAACGTGAGTCTTGTGTTTGCTATAGCGAGTCAATCGAGGGAGCAAACGAGGCGGCCAGATTTCGTAGAGTAATTAAGCGAAGCGACGGATCGTGGACAAACTCTGGCAGAGGGACCCTTGAACTTCTATCATCAACCCACTTCCCTGGTTGAATAGACCATAACGCCAAAGTGCGGTGTACACATCGGTATACGATTCGATCCACACAGGAGAAGCTAATAGAGAACACTATAAGCTACCCAAAGCTGGCATGGGCAATAAATAGCTTTCAACTGTACAAATTCCCAGAATATGGAAGAATATGGAAACCTCCGGTTAAAGATTGGCTGCGTTCTTTGAGATCAACAATGTGCAGCTGGAAGCAGGTATCCCCTCCCTTCTAACAGACTGGATTAATAGAATGCTGAATTATCAAATTCTAGAATGGAGTACTTACATCAGGAACTATACTCTCATAACGACTTTAACGATATTAGAGTAGAGTTTCCTAGTAGGAAATCCTGGGCAAGTGCCTCCTTACCTCCGAACGGTATGTCGATATTTACAGACGGGTCGAAGATGGAGGAAGGTACTGGTGCAGTTGTTTACTACAAGGAACTAGCCATCTACAACTCACATAAACGATCTTTTCCTGGCAATCACGAAAGCGGATAAGATAGTCAAATAACTTACTGCCAACACTGGACCGGTCACTATATATGTCGATAGTCAGGCTTTATTAACTCAAAAGCGATTCGTGAGTGCTTATACGATAAAGAGTTAAATTATGTTGGATTCCAGGACATAGCAACATAGAAGGGAATGAGATAGCTGCCTCATAGTTAGAGGGAGATAAAAATCATTGCGGGGATCATAATAGGTCACTGCAGAATTAGATCTCTCACTTCCAAATGGGACATTAACGGAGTGGATTATTGCTGTCTATGTGAGGATGAGGAAGAGCTGGAAAGAACTGAACATTTACTCTGTAGGTGTCCATCACTCAGTGGCAGAAGACACAGACATTCTTCTTCGGAATAGATCCCAAGCAGATCCTAAGCTTTGTCAAACCTTTGACATGGCTAAAATATATAATTTCTAAACTGATTTTAAACTTCGTTTATCTCTCTCCCTTCTTTTTCCACTTTCCTTTACTCCTTTCTTTTTAGGTATCCAGGATGAGCACAATGGACAAATATCTCTGACCTATCTAACCTAACCTATCATAATTCAACTTAATATGGAGAATCTTTGGTTGCAATACTCCAAAGAATACATATTTTTAAAACTTTATGTTCCTATGATACTTACCTCCTTGTCAATATTTGGATCTGCACGTTTTTCCAATTGCAGCTGTAAACCTCTTAGTAGTGCATCAAAGTTATTACCTCTTAACACAAGCGATACCGAATCCTGATGCATAAAGTAATCACTTAAACGCAGTGTTGTATTGTGTCGGAAATCTGGAGCCACCAATCTAAAAATGCAAATCAATTTAGTGCTACTTTTAAATTTGTATATAGATTTTCTTTTACTTACGAGAACGAACCCGGTACAGTAGTATGAGCATAACGTAGAGCAGCTGCAGCACTTTCAGCATAGGCGACAGGTGTCCATGATTGATCATAATCATTAACATATTCATCTGGTCTAACATTGTGGGTCAAATGTTGAGTGTAGGCAAAATCAGGACCCAATATTAACGGTAACCAATCATAGTATATGATTTTTTGATACTGGGCTATGTTTATTTTTCTTGCCAAATGGAAAATACTCTCGTCCGAGTAGTGGGGATTTAATTTCTCCAATATAGTAGCTAAACGATTATGTTCCCTCACCAGCAAAGTATGCAGAACTGTTATAGTTGGAGATAACTGATTTCGAATATCCGGAATTCTAAAACATTCATCAACATCTGGTTGACATTCACCACTTGCACTGGATGTAGTTGTTAAATATTGTTGATGGTTATGCCAAATAGTTCGCAATAGACCACCTTGATAATGACGAACCTTAATACTCTGTTCCAGAGAATTGCCATATACTGAGGAAAGATCTATGAATGGAGTTTGCTTACTCAATTTTTCGGCATAACCTAAACTACTTAATGTACAGGGAATGTCCTTGTCGCTGATGACTCGTGCAAAATTTAGGCAGGTTCTACCGGTACCCAGTGTAATGGGTCCGTAAACATTTAACGGTATGGAGTAACAGAATTTACTATTCGCATTTTCACAGCAATCATCTACAATAAAAATAAGATTTTAAATTATCAATTGATTTAAATAAAAAGCGAAAATCAATAAACTTACCCACGTTCGGTTTCAATTGTTCACTAATATCATGACCCACAAATTGACCGAACTGCATTGTCCATGTGGTTAAGTCGTTATCGGGAATTGTCTGATCTCCAAATAATGATAATGACAGCAATCTGGCATTTGGTAAAGCTGCTCCAGTCTGTGATGTACTTGGTGTAGATTGACCATCACCATATTTTGGTTTTAAATACCGACCAAATCTTGAATTGGCCATACCATATCCAGGATAAGCTAAATTATTACATGAACCATCAAATGTACGATATTTTAAGTTACTCGAATCATTGGCACATGATAAGGGTGGTACTGCACATTCAAATCTCACTTCATTATTTTCAAATGAATTGTGTAAGCTGTTGTCGGAATATTTGCCAAACGCTTCTACAACATATCGACTACTGTGGCTGTCATCATCTTGTGGATATGCAATTGGCTCCTGAAATGGATGTGTTCGACTTCCAGAACTGATAGCATTTGCGGTCGCATATGCCACCGGGCGCTTGGAGAATGGACTATAAAATTACATGTTCACTCAACATTACTTCCGAAATGTGTACGAAAATTAAGCTACTCACCATTGCAACTGGTAGCTTGATTTAAATACCACCAATAACAAAGAACAGCGTAATAACCAATGATGCATAGTTTCCGCCGCTGCACCAAATTAGTGTAGACAATTGGTACTACCAAACAATGCATTGTTTTCTTTTATAGAGAAAAGCGATTATCATTGTTCTATTTTCGGGTGCTGAGCTTTCGTAAACAAACAGATATTTGAAATTTACTAACATCACGTTCTTCTTAATTATGCGGAAAAATTGTGATATGTTCTCAGTATTATTGACGAATGTATGTAAATTTGTGTGTGTGGTTAAGCGCCCTCTTCGTACGGTATATCGGAATTAAATCAAAGAAGATAATATTGTGATTTTGTGTGGTTGCAACGAATCGTATGCACGCTTCGTCTGGGCTGGATATTTGATTTCGAGAATTCATAAATATTTCTTTTGGGACAAAAACTTTAGATAGTCTTTAAGAAGAGTTGTAAAATTATTGACACATTTATAAGTTTGCGTAGTTTTTGAAATTCTGCATCCAGGTTCTGTTGACCATCTGTTGTCGACCAATAAAGTAGCCCTCAATCGATAGATTGGACGACTGCGAACCCCCTCGCGCAATCTCATCGGCTGTCTCATTCCCTTCTATTTTGCAATGTCCTGGGAACCAACATAATTTAACTACCCGTCTTATATCATGAATAGAATCCTTGCAATTATGAACCGCTTTTGAGTTAAAAGTGCACGACTTGAGAACCTTAAGTGCAGCCTGACTATCGACATATGTATATAGTCACCGGTGGGTAGCTTTCGTGATTTCTACCTGAAAAACCCTACAAAGGTCGTTATGTTTATATGAGTTCTAAATGGCTAGAACCTTGCAGTAAACGCCTACACCAGTTCCTTCCTCCATCTTCGACGTGTCTGTAAATATCGACAGACCGGTCAGAAGTAAGGTGTCACTTGCCCAGGATTCCCTACTAGGAAACGCTACTTTGATGTCGTTATGAGAGGGAGAATAGTCACTGATGTGAGTACTCCTCTCTAAGAAGTCACAAACTGGCGTCGTTTAAGGATTCTGGCGTGGCCAAAATTCAGCGACATCAAGGCATCCGTTTCCCGGAGCCTCAGAGCACATCTTGCTGCCTGGAATTTAACCAGAAAATCTGTGGAGTGCGACGCTAATCGCTGTACGGTACTCACTTTTAGCCAGTATCTTCTTCTTGACCCCCATACAAGGCAAACTTATGTCAAAATGGGAAGTACAACCGTTACATACATCTACTATATGATCTCTGGTTTTGGTCCCCAAAAATCGGAATTTTGGAACATACGTTTTCTAGTGGGGTTTACCCCAAAACAATTGGCATGTGTGCCCAGTTAAAAGGGCGCCCTGCATGATATCAGAAATAGTCGGCAGAAAGTTCCCACCGACTTGCAAGATTACATCATAGGCTACAACCTAAGGTGGTTGAATTTCAGCAGTACTTCATTTATCACCAAAAGCCATAGTAGAGGAGATAATTCTCCTCCCTGTGGTGTGCCTCTGTTGACAGATTTCCTAACGGAAATCTCTCCAATGGACGAATTGATAATTCTGCATTCTATCAATCCAATCCATTAGGAGGGACTAATGGATTGGATTGAACTATCGAGATCAGAATGGGTAGCCTTCAGCTTCACATTGTTGAAGGCTCCTTCGATGTCAAGGCACGCAGCCAATGTGTAACCGAAGGTCTACATATTCTTCTCGATACGTTCGACCACCTCTTTTGAAGCAGTATCGACTGATTTGTCTTTGATGAAGGAATGCTGGGATTTGCTAATTTTATTGGGGTTGATAGTATTTCTAGTAACCTAAAATCTTAAGTCGATGGTCCTTATGGGGCGTATGACTCGGCTTCCGGGGTCTGCCGAAGTTTGACCTTCCATCGCTTCGCTAAATACTACATATACATCTTGGCTCTGGCCGCTTCGTTTACTCCTTCGATTGACTCGCAATAGCAAACCCAAGACTCACGTTTAGCCTTCTTGATTTCACGTTTGTACCTATTGAATTGTTCTCAGTAAATCTCCCAATCTGTACTAAGTTGCGTCCAACTAGCTTTATTATATGATTTCCTTGGCAGGTTTTTTGACCATCATACAGGCTGAGATTTCTTCCCTGGGTATTTCAAAGGACAATAAGCCTTATAGCTCCTCAGAAGAGTGACATGACATTCTTCACAGCTTTCTCAACATCCTCAATCGTTCGGAGGTCTATGTGACCAATGATCGTGGATGATGTATTGACTTTGAAATTATCCCAGTTTGCCTTCCGAGGATTCCTATAAGATTTCTGCTTTCCTCTGGAGGTAGGAGCATTCAGATACTTTCCAGTTCGTAACCCCAAAGACATTATATAATTTCAAAAGTCCTAAAATTTACCGGGGCTATATTCATTGAACCATAGGAATTTTCTGTTTTATAAACTCAATCCCAAATGCGTGCGATGTTATAATAATACCTAAAATAAAGCAGAATATAGGTGCTATATCTAAAATTTTTTTGCAAATAAATGTTAAACCCTCCAAAAACTCGGAACGCCAAAATACAGTCCCTTTTATTTAAAAAATCGAAGTAAAAACATAAAAATAAAAAAGAGAGGGACCTTCAAATAGAGAATGGGCAATAGCTATTAACCCTTGAGCACCCCACATCTTCCAGACATTAACGCATTAAGAGCGCCCATGAGGTGTCCATAACCCTTTAGGTCCCCCACTCCTCAGTTATTCGTATAGTATATTTTCGAATACCCTCCACATAACGTTGTATTGAGTATTTTGGACACGACTTTCAACAGAATCATCTGTATTTTGGTATTTTAGATTCTCAAATCAAATCTTCCTACCGAAAATGATCAAAATTTGCCCATGTTTTAGGGTAACCTCCGAAATATTTTTTAAACAAAATTGACAGTAATTTGGAATGTAAGATTTGTATTGGGTAGCAAACAATTGTCAGTCTTGACTTCAGTTTCTATTATTCGGATTTTTGCTGTATAGCCCTCATTTCTTATGTCTACTTCATGGTAGAAGATATTACATATTCGGCCTGACCTTAAAGCCCTTTTGAAAAATATCTAAAATCAGGAGATGGACAATAAGGACATTTGAAAAAAATGTCAGTAACCTAATAAACACAATTTTTTTGAGAATATTTGAGAACAGTATCGACGATTTAGTTTTACTTTATATTAATTTTAGAATAAGGTGAACGGAAAATCAAATGGCTCCACAAATGTATGTAGCCACAAAAACAAACTGGCTAAAAATAAATATCGATTCTGTTAAACAAATTAAGTAAAAATTATAACAACAACTAGATAAGAATACAAATTTTCATCAATTTACATCCATCATTGTTCCGCAACGATTTAAAACGTGATAAATTCTCAATTTCCGTCTGCACTTAAATATCTACGGCTCAACTTCAGATGAAGTAATAATGAATTTGTATAAAAATAAGTGCGTGGGTTTCCCATTGACTCACTAGAGATTGCAACCAGACGCGAAATCATGCAGTGGCTAATCTTTTCTTTTTTAATTGCAATATTCTTAAGACAAAGTTTTCAATATAAATGGCAAGTGCAAAACAATAACAAATTGCCGGTAAAATAATAATATATAACATTTTTTATTTATAGCCCATATTCGGATCAGCAATTTTATTCATCCCTCTTGTCAAATGACGTTGGTAATTACAATGAATTGCCACCGAAATTTAATCCATATTCCAATAATGTTTGGAATTCGGCAAAGCCTGTACCCGAGGAAAGTTTGTCATTTGCAAAAAGTGTTTTAAGTGGAAATACCAATGGTTATGATGTAACTGTGAATGAAGATAGTGATCTGAATAGTTTGTTAGAGGTTAACAACAAATTGGAATGTGCAGTTCCACCGCTGTCATGTGTCAATGACTCCAGTGCCTTGTATTATCGCAATTTTGATGGTTCATGTAATAATTTGGGACGTCCTGGCTATGGTATGGCCAATTCTAGATATGGCCGTATTTTAAAACCCCGATATGGTGATGGTAAATATGCTCCGAGTAAATCTCGATCGGGAGCAGCATTGCCAAATCCTCGTGAGCTATCACTGTCATTGCATGGCGATGATACTGTTATGGACAATACACGATCTATGCTGACAATGCAATGGGGTCAAGTCGTTGCACATGATATGAGCGAAATGATGGAAGGTGAATCGGGTGAGTAGAATTTGTGTTAAGTTTTCAAGATGTGTGTGGAATATTATTTTTATAATAGTTTAAAGATGATGATTAAAGATGGCAGAGCAATCATATAAAAGTGCCGATCGATTTTTGGTATTGGGAGTGTATTAAAAAAAAGACATATCAATTTAATTTGCGTTATTTTTTCGTCTCATTAATAATTATTTATATGACGTTTTCCCCCTCCCACCCCTAGTCGATTGCTGTAAAAATCCCAATAGCAAATATTGTTATTCGATACCATTAAATGCACATGGACCCATCGCCCTGACATCGGGTAAAACCTGTTTAAATTTTGCGCGCAGTTTAAGTGATGCCGATGTAACCTGCCCCCAAAGTAATTATGGATATATTGAAAAACTTTCCAAAGCTACACCATTCCTTGATCTATCATCCGTATATGGTAATTCTTATGAACAAAATATAAAAATTCGTCAATATTTTGGCGGTTATTTAAAGACAATCGTTAACAAGCAACAACATTATTTACCCTTAACCGGAACCACAAATGGAGAATGTCCCGCAAGTATGGGTCAATGTTATAGTACACCCGATGTGCGCAATCAATTAACCCCAACAATAGCGGTTATGCAAACAATATTTGTTCGCGAACATAATCGTATTGCAAATATATTGGGTCAATTGAATCCGCATTATTCGGATGAGAAATTGTTTCAGGAAGCAAGAAAAATCAATATAGCCCAGTATCAGAAAATAACCTATTATGATTGGTTGCCTTGGCTGTTGGGTCCCGTTTACAGTTATTCGAATGGTTTGATTTATAATGTTGACCCCTATCAGCATGTCAATGATTATGATCCCTCGTGGAATCCTGTTGCATATGCTGAAAATTCAGCGGGAGCTTTTCGTTATGCACATAATCAAATTCCTGGATGGTTTTCGTAAGTAAAAATGAATTTATTATCGGCAAATTTTATTTTTGAATATTCTTTGGTAAATTATTTCAGATTGGTTACGTCTGATCGTGCTCATAATAAAACTTTGCGTTTAAGTGATTACTTTAAACGTCCAGGAGTTGTTCAACTTTTACAGGCAGGTCGAAATTTTGATGATTTGGTTAGAGGATTAATAACGCAATTGCAGAAGAGAGCCGATGCTAATTTGGACAAGGAGGTAAGTGTTGAACATGTGAACAAACATATGAAATACGTCAGTGTTTGAAATCCAAACATAAAAGTACTCAAACCACATTCCTGAGACCTATCTATATAGTCAAAGACAATCAAAGACAAAGACAATTCCTGGTTACATTCTATATATTTTTATTCCAGATAAAACATTACTTCGATAGAAAACTGTTCGATGAATTCGGTACCGATCTAAAATCTATCGATATACAACGTGGTCGTGATTTTGGTTTAGCCAGCTATAATGACTATCGCGAATGGTGTGGATTACCAAGAGCACATGATTGGTCCGGATTTGCCAATGAAATCGGTGAAGAGGTAAGTCAAGAAGAATCTCCAATTGTACCCGAATCTCTAAATTTTTAAACCAATTCATTCTCACATTTCAGAAAATATCGTTATTGCAAAAATTCTATAAAACACCCGATGATGTTGAATTAAATGTTGGCGGTTCATTGGAACAACATCATTCGGAAGCAATATTTGGCCCAACATTCCAATGTATAATGGGTAGGCAATTTTTGACGGCACGCAAGGCAGATCGTTTCTTTTTCGAGCATCACGATGTAAATACGGGATTCACAAAAGGTAAAGAAGAATATTTTAATCCAATTACTTTCCCAAAAAATTATAATAATTCATCATTTCATAAATTTTCAGAACAATTAGCCGAAATCCGTAAAGTTAATTTGGCAGCTATTTTGTGTGCAAATACTGAAACTTTAAGATGTGTGCAACCGAATGTATTCCTATTTCCCAATGAAGAGTAAGTCTTAGATGTGAGTTGACAAGAAACTGAATTTTAATTATTTTTCTATTTTCAGTAATAATTTGATACCATGCAGTTCTCTGCCACAATTAAATCTCAATTTGTGGAAAGACCAACGATCCTATTATTAGATTTGAAAATATAATTGTTGTTAGAAGTCGCCAAAATAATTTTGATAAAATCTTCCTTTTTATAATTTTTTTATTATACGTAAACTCTTATACGTTTTTTTTTAATTTTTAAATGTTTTATTATTAAAATCTATCATTTACCTAACTGTAAGCATATATACGGCAACATTTTGTATATAATAGTTAAGCAAGAAGCATTTATTGGTTGGATTAGACGACACGTTACAGTTCATCCTTCTTCTTGAGAGCATAGGAGTTGAAGGAAACTCTAGGTGTGTTGATAAGTTCATCAGGCTAACATTCAGTGATAGTCTAAATGTTTCTGAAAGCAGCTTCACACGCCAGAGTGTAAAAAAATTCAGATAACACTACAAAGTGGGCGGCCTGACGACGGACAATGCAACTTGACCAAAACATGACATGATAATCTATCCCCGATGTAAACAATTAACTAAATAAAATCGTTTAAAAGTTGTAATTGTCGGACCTCGATAGAGCCTTTTAATAACGGGGGTTGTCACCATGCTATGATATCTAGGTTAGGATGTATGGCTGTCATTAGCAGCCGTTCACTCAGAGACATTTGTCCATTGTGCTCATCCTGGATAACTGGAAAGAAAGGAGAAAAGGAAAGTGGAAAAAGAGGAAACAGAACCATCGCCATCTGTTGCCGACTACCTTGCAGTAGTTCATACGAATTTTGACAATAAAGTAGCCAATAGGAGGTTGTACAGATTGGACGACTGCGATCCCCTCGAGCAAGCTCATCGGCTATCTACGTCCTGAAAACCAACATAATTTTACTATCTGTATACTATGAAGAGCACTCTTGCGGTCACGAACCAATTTTGTTTAACTCAAACACGACTTGAGTGCCTTAAGGAACGCCTGACTATCGACATATATAGTTGCCGGTCCTATTTTGTTGACTTTCTCAGCCGCTTTCGTGATTACCAGTATTTCGTTATGTTTATGTAAATGGTTAGTTCCTTTCAGTAAACGCCTGCAACTTCCTCCATCTTCGACCTGTCCGTAAATATCGACATAAAGGCCAGAGGTAAGGATCCACTTGCCCAGGTTTCCCTACTTGGAAACTCTACTCTAATGCCGTTAAAGTCGTTATGCGGGGGAGAATAGTCACTGATGTGAGTACTCCTCTCTAAAAAGTCACAAAGTGGCGTTGTGTGGAGGATACTAGGAGCCTCAAGGCAATATGTGCCTAGAATTTAACCAGAAAATCCAGTGGAGATTCAAGATTTCTTTCAAGGCTGCCTCCGTGTGCTTCTTAACACATCGCCGACAACGCTGTACAACACTCATTTTAGCCAGTAGTGTATGCTTGCCACCATACAAGAATGGGGAGTACGACCGTCACATACAGCCAGTGTATGATCTCTGGTCTTAGTCCCCAACTCTTACCTATAGAGTTCTTGCAGGAGTAGAGTGCTATTACACATTGCTTAGTGTGTTCCTCAACATTCCTTTTCCCCGTTAGTATGCTGTCGAGGATTGTACAAAAGTTATTTTGCTTCTAAGGGCTAAGGCGACTCCACCCAATCGGAAATTTGGGATGTTACGTTTCCTAGTGAAGAGTATAATTTCTGTCTTCGTGGGGTTTATACCAAGACCATTGGCGTGTGCCCACAGATAAAAGGGCACCTTTCATGATATCAGAAATAGTCGGTAGATATTTTCCACCGACTAGCAAGACTACATCATCGGCATAGGCTACACCTTTATCCTAAGGTGACCGAATTTCAGCAGTATCTCAATTATCACCAGGAGCCATAGTTGATAATATTCCTCTCCCTGTGGTGTGCCTCTGTTGACAGATTTCTTTACGGAACTCTCTCCAATGGATGAATTGATATTTCTGCTTTCCAGGATTGTATCAATCCAATCCGTTAGGAGGGAGGGGATACCTGAACTATCGACATCAGAATGGATAGCCTCCAGCTTCATATTGTTGATTTGTAGGGTTTGAAGCTATTTATTGCCAATACCAGCTTTGGGTAGATTATAGTGTTCTCAATCAACTCTCCTCTTCCTTGGTTTAAACCGTATGCCGATGTGCACACCGCACTTCGTCGTTATGGTCCATAACAAGGGAAATGGGTTGATGATGGAAGATCCAGAGGATCTTTAGATATTACTCTGCGAAATCTGTCCGCTTCCTTTGCTCCTTCGATTGACTCGCTATAACAAACCCAAGGCTCACGTTTAGTCTTCTTGATTTCACTGTTGTACCTATTAAATTGTTGTCAGTAAACGTCACAATCTTGACTAAGTTTCGTCCTACCAACTTTATTATGTGATTTCCTAGCATCCTTCCTCAAGGATGCCAAGTTCTTTGACAACCATACTGGCTGAGATTTCCTCGCAGGGTATGATATTAAGTACAAGAATTTTTGAAAAAAAGAATTCAAATAAATCGAAAACTAGATTGTTTCAAATAATCACTTTCAACTTCCTACCTTTTTTCTTTAAAGTTCCCTGGATGTACTCAATGAAACACCTGATTCCAATTCTTTTTGACGACTAATAATTTCCCACAGACAAAACAAAACTCCCTTTCAACCAAAAAATCCGCGATTATGCCATCAAACTAAAACACTTATATAATTTAATATCACTTTTTTATTTTTTATACACTTCCCCTTCCTCTTCACCACCTTCTTCTGGTGCTGGTGTTGTGGGAGGTGGATAATATGGTGGTGGGTATGGGTATCCTGGATATCCTGGATACCCGGGATAAGGTGGATATGGATACGGATATGAAGGAGAGTGGTGATGACCGCCAGGAGGTCCCTGTGGTCCTGGTAAACCTGGCAACCCTGGATGACCTGGTGGACCTGGTGGTCCTCTCTCTCCTGGTCGACCATCTACGCCATCTTTTCCTGGTGGTCCTGGCATACCTGGACGACCATCATCACCTTTAGGTCCAGGAAAACCTGGTGCTCCGGGCCTACCCGGAAGACCGGGTGGTCCTGGCGGTCCAGGTGGGCCTGGTGGACATTTACATGATGGGTAATAGCCATGGTGTGGTGGTGGTGGTGGGTAATAAGGATCTTCTTCATTTTCTACAGTTTGTAAGATTACTGACTTTGGTCCAATCCGCACTGGCCGTATGCTTACTCCCCGATTCGGTTCGCAAAGACATAATTGTAATGTAACAACTGGAATGTGACAGAAAATAACCAAATAACCAATTAATTTGATGTGTATACATATTTCGGAAATAAATAAAACCACTAACCTGTTAAGAGTAATATGTGAAGCGTTCTCATCTTTGTGACTTTCTAACACGAAACTCTGTCAGTCGTTGGTATTTATGTCAAGAGGTATTTGTGCCAATCTATGTT